GGGGGCTCCCGGGCCCAGCCGCACCCACGGAGGCTGGTGCTGAGGCTGCTGCCTGCGTCCCTGGCCTCAGCGATCTCTTAGAAGAGGTGCTTGCCACGGCTTCCAACTGCCCACACGCATGCCTGGGCCTTTGGCTGGTTCCACATGGCTCTCCACTCCCAGTGGCCCTGGGCATGGGCACACAGGAGCTGCACTTCCTTGGAGGAGCGCATGCCAGCCTTGCCCAGTGGCTGGCACACCCCACCTCTCACCTGGTGGCCAGCTTGCAGGAGTGCTTCCTAGTTTCAACCCCCCCGGAACTCAGGTCAGAGCCTTGGTCTTCTGTGGCCTGTCTTCAGCAGGCTGGAGCTCTGCCCAGTCGGAATAGTGAGGCCCCAGGGCTGATGGAGTCACACAGGATAGGACAGGAAGGATGGAGCTTGTTTGCCCCTGGGGGTCTGCACCCTTCGTCCCTGTAGCGTGGGCTCTCCCAGGATGGGATGGTGGGAGGAGAGGTCGGCTGGATGCTGTGGAAAGCAGTATCACCTCAGGGCCATGTTAGCTTTGCCCTCTGTCCCCAGAGGGCCAGTGGCTCTACGGTTCCCAGGATGGACCAGCCACCTCTCTAGGCAGAGCTGCACTGCTTGGGCCATCAAAGAATGGGGTGATCTGAGGCACAGGCCTGACCCTTCGGGAGGCCTTTGTGAGGGAGAACTACCCCAGCAGAGGCCCAGTGAACCAGAATGCCACTGCTTCCACAGGAAGGATGGCAGCCCTGGGCAGCCCGGCCAGCAGGAGGGAAGGGTGGGACAGGGGTAGGGGACACCCTGCACACTCAGGGGCTCAGGCCTTTTATCCTCAGGGCTCACAAGAGGGCACGGGCAGGGGGGACTGCCCGGAAGAGGGACGCAGCGGGACAGCAGAGACCTTTGGTGGAGTGCCCTGATAGGATACTTCTCTGATAAGGAAGATGAAAGACTGCACTCCCAAGGGAGCGTGTTAAAGCACAGGGGGGCCCAGCACCCCATGATGGGCGGAGGCTGACCTGCGGGGACCTTGACGAGTTTTCTTCTGAAATCCACTTGCTCCGTCCTCCGACCATCATCATTCTGCATCCTGGCATTGGAATTACGACCAGGGGCCTGGCGCGCAGGCTGTGTTTATGTGAGGTAAGGCGGCGGGTGGAAAACTTCAAGGCGTCCTTTTTCAAAGCTCTATGAAATTGGGGCCTTACTCTCCCACGTGGCCCCCATCCTCCGACCCAAATTAGAGAGACATGACAAAAATCTCAGACATAAATCTGCAGGGGGTGGGAGGGAGCGGGATGGAGGAAAGCTCTGGAACTTAAACCACAGTCACTTTACGCAGATGTTTCTTGTGAGCGGGGACTGAGGCAGCTGCACCCCAGTCTGATTGCACACCGTCATGGAGACCCTCCAAGCAGACGGGGGAGGGGATGGGCTAGGAGTCCCCTGAGCTGCAGGCCCTTCACACAGTTCCAGAACACATCTGTCCTCCACGTGGGAGACCCGTTTAAAGACTCCAAAGTGAATTGCCTGGAGCAGAGGCTCCCTGAGAAGTGTCTCCACATCTGCTCTCTGGGAATGTGGCAACCCCTCCTGCTCACCCCACCGCCTCAGAACCCCCCAGGCTTGGAGGCCACGCTGCTCACACAGCCCAGCTGAAGAGTCCCTTCTCTGGTGGCGAGGTGGGAGTGCCAGCCATTAGGCACTGGGAAAAGCCAGGGTTGGTGCTAAGAGCAAGCCAGTCATCGCCTGCCCTGAAAAAGCCGTGATGGGTGTACAGCTGGGGGCACTGAGAGGGCAGGAGATGCAGCCTCCTTCCTTGCGAGGCCACCGGCTGGGCTGCCCTGTGCAGGCTGGAGCCTGGCCTCGACAGCAATGCAGACTGCAAGTGTGTGGAGCGGTGTGAGCCCCTGGCTGAAGGGTGGCCTTCCCCGAGAGGGCGTGGTGGGCAGCGTTGCTGGAGACCAGGTCACTAGATGGAGTCCCCAGCACACAGGCTCTGCGTCACGGCCCCAGCCCCAGTCTCTCCACAACTACTTTCTTCACAACTTATCAGACCAAGAAGGGCCTTGCGAAGCGCGTAAATACAGGAGCCACAGCCAAGCGCTGCGCCCAGGAGGGAAGTCTGAACACACGCCCAGTGTGTGCGGGGAGGCCTGCCTGGAGGAGGGTTAGAGCAGATTTACAAAGCGCCGAGAGCAGAGCACACTGCGGTCCATCTCGAGGTGGTAGGTAACTAGATTTTCCTTTTCTGGGCAGCCTTTCTCTTCTTCTGTCGCTTCTTTTTTCCTATCTTTTCTTTTTTCCCCACTTTTTCTTCTCTGCGCCCCCTTAGATAAAATTGGTAAAACCATTAATAATGTTGAGATACACGAGAGTTTGCTGCAGTGTGTATAATACGTCACCCTGGCCCCACTATCAGTCTAACTCTGTCTTCAGCCTCAGGCCTAGAGGCTGGGCAAAGCCCTGTTTGTGGGTAATTCCTTAAAATAATTAGACATTCTCTCCCTCCCCCTTCAAGCAAATGTTAAATGAGCGTCTATGACATGTGCGAACTGACGGCAGTGACTGCCAATTTGCCAACTTGGCCCTGGTTCCTACTTCTGCCCGTGGGTCCTGCTGGGCCCAGGGAGTCCACACCTCACAGGGTGCTGAGGACCACAGCCAGACTGGACTGAGCTCTCTCCCTCCCCACCCACCTTGCTCTCATCAAGCCTCCTTCCTTCTGAAGACAGAGCTGGGCTCTGCTTCCCCTGAAAAATCTCCACACTGCACTTCCAGTAACGCTGTGGTGTTTGGAGGCCCCAGGTCTAGATGGCCAATCAGGAGAGGAGAAAGGAGGCTTCGATGGAGCCCACCTTCTCCCTTCTAGATGCCCGTGAACACCCCCTGGGAACGACTGGGATTGTTCTGGGGAGCAAGGGAGAGAGCTGGTTAGCAGAATTTTATTAGAGCGACTGGCTCGTGCCTGTCACATTAAAATGATTCAAGCTGAATGGTATTTAATGATTTATGGGGTAAGGCCACCTGTTCCTGTGAACGCTTGATATTAACCACGGCTTGGAGTCATGGGAGTTTTACATGGGAAAATGTGAAAGCTTGATATTACCAGGGTTGAGTCTCTGGAGATTACATGGGGATGTTAGGAGAACCGAGGAGAAGAGGGAGGGGATGAGTTATTAGTGAGTCAAATATTATTTTTCAGAAAACTAGTACTGCTATGTCCATTTGGATTTTTAAAAAAGATGCCAAAACTTGAGCTGCAGAAACTGATCTGCTCATGAGAAAAGCTCATGCACTGTCACTCACGCAGGGACTCCTCAGAGGGGTCGAAGGCACCGGCCAGCAGGCTGGCTTATTCTAAACTCCTGCAATGTATCTAATCATCTTGGATAACTAATACATTTTATTTCAGGTAAATGAATTCCCACGTACGGTAGGAGGTTTATGCCATGAAACAATTAGCATTTTATTGCTAGTGCATATAATGTCACATTTAATACAATTTTAGTACAAGTGGAAAAATACACTGTGGCTAACATTGAATAGCTGCAATCACATTTATATATCATATATATTTCTTTACAAATTGCCAGTAGTTTAAGATAATAGTGAAATGTAACCTACTGACATTCATATGGCTCCACTTCAAATATATGAATTGTTCGACTATAAATATATTCTGAAATACATTTGTTTTCTAAAGAAACATTAAAAAAATGTGCACGAAAAAATATATATATAAAATGCCTTGCAAAAAATTACAAAGACCACCAGGACCATCTGTGGATCACATTTATGTGGGGAAATTTCATCTTGCCAAAGTTTCTGATTGGAACCCGAAGTCCCATTGTGGCCTCAGGAGTAGGGGTTAGTGGCAAGATGGTGGTTTATTCATTTTTTTTTTCCCACTTCTCATTTCAGAAACCTCAGAGTTTGGAGCGCCCCCACAGCACACATAAGCTTCAGAGGCAATCACAGAAACCAAATTCCTCAAATGAGTCCTCAGATTGAAAACTGCATTGATTCTGCAAAGACTTGTCTTTTGTGGGAATGCAGGGACATGATCTCACATCCCCCAGGAGAGAGCCGGCTCCATTCTGGAGGAGGTCAAAGACGATCTCACAGAGGGCCCTGAGCTGGGGGAAGGTGGAGGGAGAAGAGGGACGCAGGGTGGTAGGCCCCGCCATCGCCCTCCTCCGGCCAGAGCGCATTGATCAGGCTACAGAAATGAGAAGCGGCGGCAAGAGGGAGCATGCTCTTAGAGGCAGGGAGAGGATGAGAGAGGGTCTCTGAGCACATTCACTGGTGACGGGCAAAAAATTACAAAGACCACCAGGACCATCTGTGGATCACATTTATGTGGGGAAATTTCATCTTGCCAAAGTTTCTGATTGGAACCCGAAGTCCCATTGTGGCCTCAGGAGTAGGGGTTAGGGGCAAGATGGTGGTTTATTCATTTTTTTTTTTCCCACTTCTCATTTCAGAAACCTCAGAGTTTGGAGCGCCCCCACAGCACACATAAGCTTCAGAGGCAATCACAGAAACCAAATTCCTCAAATGAGTCCTCAGATTGAAAACTGCATTGATTCTGCAAAGACTTGTCTTTTGTGGGAATGCAGGGACATGATCTCACATCCCCCAGGAGAGAGCCGGCTCCATTCTGGAGGAGGTCAAAGACGATCTCACAGAGGGCCCTGAGCTGGGGGAAGGTGGAGGGAGAAGAGGGACGCAGGGTGGTAGGCCCCGCCATCGCCCTCCTCCGGCCAGAGCGCATTGATCAGGCTACAGAAATGAGAAGCGGCGGCAAGAGGGAGCATGCTCTTAGAGGCAGGGAGAGGATGAGAGAGGGTCTCTGAGCACATTCACTGGTGACGGTGGCCTCTACGTGGAGCCCACAGATCTAATCACTGAACTTAAAAATGGAGGTAAATGCCGTGGCCACCGCCTGGCTCTGGTCAGTGTCCACAGGCCACACAGGTTGGACCTTGCTGAAGGGGCGCCCCCTGCAGGAGCCGCCTGGCATCCTTCCTCCACACTCAGTACCTGGAGGAGGGGGTACTGTTTTTAGCTCCCTGCTGTGCCATCACCTGACTGTGCCCAGATTCCCAGGGAAAAGGAGAAGATCCAAAAGGAATCACACACAGATACTGAAGTCATCGTGGAATTAAAAAAAAATGAGAATGAGAATGATGGTGATTATGATGAGCATGAGGGAACCGACTGGAGGGAAATGCTGTAGGGATAAAATGGTTTCTTAGAAAAACCCCAGTTATAACAGCTCCAATGTGCAAGGGTCCCGGGCATGGATGAGTACAAGCTGCGATATCGTACCATAGCTATAATGTGGCGTCTATATGCTGGCAGACCTCAGGCCCATCCCAGATCAGTGCGCTACTCCTCAGGCACCGGGCCTCGCCATTCAGGCCCCTCCCGACACCTCCGCCCTCTCATCATCTCTCACAGGGTGTTAGCTCTCCTCAGTGGGTCTAGTGGAGAGTCCTTTCTGGCTGTTGTGCTTACTTGTTTAAAGCTTTCTCCAGGTACTCCTGAATCCACTTTAATTTCGGATCAATGCACACTTGTCTGTTGTTGTTCTTCAGCCTTGCCCTGCCAAAACACAAGAGGAGACGGTGAGCGGTGGAATGTGTAGACGCCACTGCTGCAATTGCGCCCCTGCAAACTCGCACCTGCTGGAGGGCTCTCAGAGAGGCCAGATGCCAGCTGGGCAGGCTCAGGTGAGAGCTGCTCAGGGTGTGCTGGGAACAACGCTGGTGTGGTGGCAAGTCCCACAGCAGACACAGAAGAGTGAATGACGTCTTCACAGGGGAGTCCAGGGAAATGCACATCCAAACGTATCAACTGCTTTGAAGTGTGATAAGCCCAAGCTTGGTGAGCGAAGTGGAAGGGTAGGGAGGACAAGAACAAATGCACCAAAGAGGTCAAAGTGCAGGAAGATGAGGAGGTGGAGTGGGAGGCAGGATGCTCATAAAGCTCGTAGCCAGATATAGAGGGACTGGAGAGGAGGAATCAGACTTTATTTTGATGGGTCAGATCTAAGGACGGACTTCAGAGCAAGCCTGGAGGAAGCTCTGAGGCAGGAGGCCTGTGAGGAGGCCTGCAACGGACTGGGGGAGGGTGGGGAGAGTGCGTATGTGTGTAGGGGGTGCAGGTGGTTTCCAGAAAATGGCTTCCAGAGGGATTTCACAAGTTCACTGAAGGTTCCATGGTCTTGTTTGTTTTTTAAAAACTAAAAATGGACCTCTTCCCATTTCTCATCTCCACTCAAATGTGCAAACTCCCGAGAAAGACCTGGACTCCTCTCTCCAGATGCCCTCTCCAGAAAGCCCTGGCTGCTAGGTAAGCTGAAGCAGCCAGAGGACACCCCGGCCCAACTACAAATGGGTCTGTGAGGTGAAGGAAGCCACCACAGTGGCTCAGGGATCCCCACAGGGCTTCTAAGCAGCGGTATTCTCAGTGAACAAGGTGCACAGAGGACGGGGTGTGGAGCAAGGTGCATTGGGGTGCAGAGCTGGGCACCACCGTTTGCCAGCTGAGTTGCTGGCTGCATTTGCAGGCAAGTGAACCAGCATACTCTGCGATTACCCAGGTCCACGCTAGCAAAGCTGTGACAAACATTCAAGCTCTTCTAGAATGCTAAAACAATTATAAATGACGAACACACACAAGGTAGCCAAGGCTAGAAAAGACAAAAGGCAAAGGCAATTGGAGTCTGAGACAGTTGGTGCTGGGTGGGAAAGTCTTTGGGAAGGAGCAGGTTTCATCCCAGATGCCCGGTCTCCACCCCACTGTCAGTACTAGGGCCCCTAGGAAGTGAACCCTCCCCTCCTTGGCATCTAGACACAGGACCATGCTAGCTAGCGTGAGAGGGCGAGCAATGGATTGGCAAGCACGTGGCTTTCCTCCTGCACCCCAGGAAGAGATCTGGGGGCCCCAGAGATGTGTGATTTTGCTTTTCTTATTTCCCATGTGAAAACACAAAATGTTAGCCACTGCCATCAACACTGAGTAAAAACGAAAACCTGCGTGTTGTGCTTGACAAAACACATTGGGTCGTCGGGAAAGTCATGATACAGTTTGCAGAGAAAAACATGGCATGACTTTCCCGACAACCTAATAGTTAAGTAAGCTGAAAATATTGAGGTCTCACCAGACGGTTACAAATGATCTAAACTGCATCCGGGTCTTAAACGTTTTTGCTATGTGAGGAGGGGATCACTGAGATCACCAGGGCCTTGAAAACAGCGGGACAGATGTACCCGTAGCTAGAAAAGGAGCAGCTGATTTACGGGGCTCCAGCTAACACCTCGATGCAGTCCATGTGCCTCTCGTCCACAGGCTCCAGCTGTGCTGTGCGGAAAGGAGGAGGCTTGGAAAGAAGGGGAGACAAGGCCCGTTATGAGCACAGAGGGCTGCCATGGGAAGGAGTAGCTTTTGGAATGTGCACCTGACGGCCCAAAGTCTTGCGGCAATAACAGCTGCCACGACCTATGCCAAGTTCAAGGCTGGACACTCACACTTCTCCTACCCCCTAAATGAGGCCGTGAGGTAGGCTTGCTGTGCCCGCTAGCTGCGACATCCCTGAGGACTCTGCTGGAGACTTACACAATCTGAAGGGCGCAGTTGGGAGTGTTGAGAATTTTGAGATGCTTGACGTTGGCTCTGGCAACATGGCTCTCGAAGAATCGGCATGGACATCTGTAGCTCAGGCTGACGGGCTTCCCTGGAAGAAGTCATGAAAACAAGGTAACCTGTTACCCTGCCAGGCCTTGGGATGGCATGGGTGCCTGGGACTGCAGACCGACTGCAGACCGGGGATGAGAAGGTGGAGTGAGAGGAGGTTAAGGGTTAAAAGCAGTGGGATCAAAGGATGAGGTACAGGTTCCAGCTGCATTCTGGAAAAGGAAAAGCCATCTTTTGGAGAGTGCTGGCTGGGCTCAGGCTCAGCTTCTACAGGGCAGGAGGACAAAAGGACCTGGGGAGAGCGGGACTCTCAGAGGGCGGGAGATTACAGGAGAAGCCATTGGCTCAGGTGTCTCAAAATAAAGGTAGTACAATAATTGCTGGAAAAAACGGTTTTAGTCCAAGATACTGCAATGAGATTCCCAGTTTTTCTTTGCGAAATAAACTCTTCCAAGGCCAACTGAGAAAGACCTCCAGCATGAGAAAGAAGGAGGCTCCATGCTGTCTCCCGCCTCCTCTGCCTCCACCTCCTGGCCAGGAACCACAGCAGTCCCCAGGAATGCAGCCCTCCCCCATCTGCAGGCTTCCCTCCCCACAGTCACCTAAGCCCAGGAAACCACAAAAGAATCCCAGCTGGTTTTCTACCTGGGAGTCCCCAGGGCTGCCTAGGGCCACCTTCTCCCAGCACCTCCCTGAGGCCAGGAGATTAGTGAGGCTGGAGTCAAATGCACTTTGGATCCTGCGCAGGGATGTGCAGCCTCCTGGATTGTATTACCATCTGATCTTTGTCTGCCAGTTCGCCAATTTGCAAAATGCCATAATTGACACTCATTAGTGTAAATTAGCAAGGGGCTCCTGCAGAACCCACTGCTCACCCTTAAGTCTAGAATTGCAAGCCCTGGGGGCTGGTATTTGTTTTTTGGGGGTGTATTTTCCCCTGCAGATTTTATCTAAGCCCCACTTAATAACCCAAATTGTTTGATTTCGTGGATCCTTTCATCAGGGATTAAATGTATAAGTGAGAATATCGAGTTCAGAGATTTTTTTTTTCTTTTTTTTTTTGTTTGCCTGTATACAGAGTTCCAGAGGACTCCAGGGGTTCTGAAGTTCTGCACCTTGGGGAAGAGCCCTGGGGGAAGTGATGAAGTCTCAAGGGTGTTTTACTTTTTCTCCGGGTTGCATTCAGCTGAGGGATGGTGCAGCTGGAAACAGTAGTGTCAGGGGAATGGGAAACTCAGCCACTCCCACACTCTGGACCAAACTTAATTTCCTAAAAATCAGGAGAAAGGCTGGCGTGGAAGTGCCCAGTGACATTTGGCTCCAGCAGGCTAAGGAGCCCCGGGCACCTGTGCACCAGAAAGTCTGCCGGGCTGGCTGTGAGAGCTGCACTGAGTCTCTGCAAGTCAGTCAGCACTGCCCTGTAACCAGATCACCTGGGAAAGCGACCCTGGGCCCCTGGGACCTGGGTAAAGCAGCAGCCTAAGTCCCCATCTGACTGCGGTGCCTCCTGGTTTGCCTGGATTTCCCGTGGGTCCTCTGAGCTGAGCCAGGAGAACTGGAGCCCTCAGTGAAGCAAGAACAACTTGGAGGTATGTAGCAAGCACCAGTGTACAGTGGCAGCACTGCTGGGGTGCCTGGGGGGCTGCTGCTCTGTGTCCCAAGGAGCTCCCCTGGCCCCACTAACCAAGCAGTGGGGGTCAGGTCAGAAATCAGAGCCAATTCAGAGCTCAAAACACAAGCTTTCTCTCTCCAGGCTCATCCTCCATCCACTGGGATTATCCATTTCCTTCAAAGGCAATTCTTATTCTCACCCTCAGAACCCAACTGCCTGTTTTTCAAGCAGGGAATTTCAACAGATTTTTTAAAGTGACAGAGCCCCCAGGTGTTCTTACCTGGGGAACTCAGGGCTGTGTCCACCTTGGTTCTTCCCTCCAACTCTGTCACTATACCAACTTTTCCAGCGGTCTTACATGTGATTCTGTGGACAGGCAGGAGTCCAGACTGGCTCTTAAATTCGATGTGACCCTGAATTTGGAACCTGGTGAGCTTGGCTCCCAGTGCAGTTTCCAGACAGCCTCTTACTCTAATGCAGAGGCAGGCCCTGGGCCAGCCCTTCTAAGCAGGCCTGGGGATGGGGCCCACCCTGGCTTTTACCAGGGAAAGTCCGGGGCACCCATGGGCCCAGCTGCTTGACCAAGGTCAGCCAATAGGGGAGGGGAGGAGCCAAGCAGGGGTCTCTCCTAGGTGCAGCTAGGGAACTAAGTGTGGGGCCAGAGGGCACATGAGCACCAGGAGGTTGGAAAAAAGCATATTCTGGAAGCATGAGGAAGACCAGGACCTGCCTTGAGCCTGGGAGCTGACCTGGCTACTTGGCTTCCATAAGGCAATTTGAGCTGCAGGCAGCCCCACTCTTTCAGGGTCAGAGGGAGTCAGGGAATGAGAGCTCACTTTCTAGGTGCTTCCCTGGGTCATCATGCCCAGACTCTAGGTCCAGGGTCCCAGAGTTCTGGCCCCATCTGCAGCTCCATCCCCATCCCCAGGAGGCAGCATCATTTTCCAGCGAGGTTCACCTTCAGCAGACCACTCAATTATTAACGCCAAACCAGAGCACCCTGTGTCCTGAGCGATCAGCCTGACACCTTTTCAGCCACTAGAGAAAATCGAAATTGCCTCTGATCTGGGCCCTTTGTAGCTCTGACCAACACCTTGCTACGCTTTTAGAGAACGCTTCCCTGACTCAGCCCTGTCCTCGCTCTACCCGCAGGGACTCCCAGCCTCGGCCATGAGGACCCGGCGGCCCAGTCTGCCCGAACCTAGCTCAGCGCGTTCGGGGCGCGCTTGGACCCGCAGAGCGCGGCTGCAGCCAGAGCACTCACAGCGTCCTTCAACCCTTTGCAGGAAACTTTGCAGCCAAGGAAGGGCAGCGGCCTGAATGACAAGGTTTTGTTTTGTTCAGAGGCAAGTTTATTTTGGTTTGCAGCAGTGGTGTCCTGTGACAGCGCAGCGAGTATTCTCTTCTGCCACAGAAAAAGAAAGAACTCGTCTCCCGGTGAAACGGGACACCGCCGTTCCCAGTGGCCTAAGGCATTGGCGACTGAACTTTGCTGTCTCTCTCCTTCCGAGGCAGAGCATTCGGCTCGCCGGCAACAAAGGCGCTGCCTGCAGGTGTGTTTAGGAAGGGTTGGAGAGGGGCGCTCCAAGGCCCGGGCGGCCTCTGAGCCTTTCTCTGGTGACCTGAGGAAGAGGCCGGGGGGGCTGTGGTTGAATGCGCGCCCAGATCCGCGTCGCTGCGATTCGCGGAGCTGTGCAGAAGCGCGGCCTGGCGGGAGGCGCAAGCCCGACAGCTGCACCGAGCGGTCCGCCAGCGCCTGGCCGCGAGCCCCGCGAGGGTGCGGGGAGAGCACCGGCCTCGCGTGGGGGACGCTGCGCAGCTGCACTCAACCTCAGCCAGGCCGAGCCCGTCGCGGCCAGGGATGGGCTTTGCAAGCTCTCCCACCAGCGCCGGCGGTTGCAGCGCTGTGCGCAGAGGACCCCGGAGCCGACTGGCTGCTGGAGACCCAGCGGGCGCGGGAAGGCACTAACGGGGTGGGCGGCCAGGGGCCTGCGGCCGCAGTTCCCAACAGGGTTCTCGCGCTCGCGCCCTTCTGCGCCGCTCCGAACGCGCCCACGGTGGGCTCCTGCCGGCTTATCCCACCGATCTCGCTCTGCAGCCCGCTCGAGGTCGAGCAGCCGCTCTCTGCCGGGCGCAAAGCCTCCACGCGACGCGTGGGACTTCAGACGCTGCGCCTCAGGAGAGCGCGCCCTGCGCAGCGAGCCGTCCCAAGCTCCCCTGTGCCACGCTGCGCGAAGTGGGTCGGCGCGAGGTGGGCGGGCTCAGGCCGTGGAGGCTCGGCCCGGCACCGAACTCGAGCACCCAGCCCCGCGGGGCTGCATGGCCGAGCGCACTCACCGTCGCTGCGGCAGAGCGCG